AGGTTAGTAAGGAAGGTCATTTCCCTGTAGGCCCAGGAATTTGGAGATAATTTGGGGGCCTCAAGAAAAGAAGAATTCACCCAAAGCTATAAGGACTGTAGCTGAAATTTGATAGTATGCTCTGGGCTTGGCTTTTAGCCTCAGTAAGGCCTTTAAAAGTCCAATCTGAGATTCTGTATGAAAACTTTCAGCAAAGAAGCTTGAAGGCACCTATGTGGTCAGCTCTTGTTCTTGCTGCACTGACATAATCAAGCAAATCTAACAAAACTCAACTTATTTTTAAAATAAGAGTAATCTGACTTTGATGATCTATGATCAAAAAAGATGGCTACGACAGAGAGAAATTTTACGTTTCAATGGAAAACTGTAACTCAGCCGGGCGTGGTGGCACATGCCTATAATTCCAGCACTTTGGAGGCCAGGAGTTCACCACCAGCCTGGGCAACATGGGGAAACCCCATCTGTACCAAAAAAAAAAAAAAAAAATTAGCTGGGCATGATGGTATGTGCCTGTAGTCCCAGCTAATCAGGAGGCTGAGGAGGGAGGCTTGCTTGTACCCAGGAGATAGAGGGTGAAGTGAGCTGAGTTTGCACCATTGCACTCCAGCCTCGGTGACAGAACCAGACCCTGTCTCAAAAAAATTTTTTAAATAAGAAAACTATAGCCCTTGAGGGTTATCAGGTTCCAGTCTTGTTTTTTGTCTTTGGGCTATTTTTACCTCTTTGTAAACTGAATCCTGCCATCTGATGAATTTTGTCCCATGATGATACTTGTGGAACAAGAAGCCAAGTATTGTCTCCCCTACTAATGTATCTATTGTCGCTTAATTTGAAGGCCTCCAAAAGAGGAAGGTTTTGCTCCCCAGAATGCATAACCAAGTTGTGACACATTCATGCAATGGAATACTATTTAGCCATAGAAAGGAACAAGCTATCAACTCACAGGAAGACACGAGTAAATCTTTCGTGCACATTGTTAAGTGGACGAAGACAGTCTCAGGAGAATCCACACAGTGTGACCTCATTTAATGAGATTTTGGAGAAGGGAAACTACACAGATGGGAAGCCTTTGGCTGCCTGGGGTCAGGGTTTGAAGCATTCCATATGATACTTTAATAGTGGATACCTGCCACTATGCATTTGTCAAAACACGCAGAATTTTACAGCCAAATGGGTAAATCAAACTCTATTCTAATTAAATAATATTATTCAGGATGTGGAGTATACCCGCGCAGAATACACAGTGTGAAAAATAACTTAACTATGCTACAAATTACAATGGTTTGGATGTGGTTTGTCCCTGCAAAAACTCATGTTAAAATCTGACCCCCAATGTGTGGGGAGGTAGGGCCTAGTGGAAGGTGTTTGGATTATGGAGATCAATCCCTCATGAATACATTAATGCCCTCCCATGGGGGTGAGTTCTGTCTGCTCTGACAGGAATGGATTAATTCCTGCAGGAGTAGATAGTTAAAAAGAGTCTGGCTTCCTTGGCTTCCCTCTTGCTTTCCCTCTTGCTGTGATCTCTGGTGCACCCCTTGCTCCCTCTTCCACTTTCCACCATGAGGTGAAAAAGACTGAGGCCCCACGAGATGCAACTGCCCAATCTCAGACATTCCAGCCACCAGTACTGTGAGCCAAATGAACCTTTTTTACCTACAAATTACCCTGCCTCAGGTATCATGTTACAGAAGCACAAAATGGACTAAGACACAAATGTGGGAAAAAACTCACTGAAGGTGTAGGGAAAATGGTGCTGACCTAAGTCTCTTTGAAAAATGAACAGAATCTGTAGGCTGAAGGCAAATGAACTATATTTCATCATTGGATTCCATTTTATAAAGTTCTTTCCAACAGGGGTAATTGTGAACAACTGTAAAACCACAGTATCTGTAACTGGAATAAAACAATGAATTACATACGTCGCAGATGGTAGGAACCAGGTCTCTCGCTGTTGAAGTGGGAGGTTCCAAATTAGCAAGAGGAGAAGGGTAGAAAGATTCATGTGAGAGTAGATCAGAGGTGAAGTCATCAACATAAAATTATGTTTAGTTTAATACAGATACATACAGTTCCACATCAAAACCTTCCTAACTAGGTGTGTATAGGTAGGTGACACACACACATACACTTCCTCACATTGCTAATGAGGGACAAGACACAATGTGCTCACTCAGCAGCCAGATAGACGTTTCCCTACCATTCTGAAAGGAATCAGGCTCTTTGAAGAAATGTCTGATACTAGAACTGAGACAGTAAATATATGAGCCAGGATAATCTTGAAGTATCAGAAAGTAAGTAAGTACTAAAAAAAAAACAAAATTGGTGAGAGCTACAGGCACTCTCTTGCTAACCCTAAACCCTGACTGACACTGACCTCTTCCCCACAACCCCTCAGGTATGTCCCATTTCTGCTAAATTTTATCCTCCAAACTTCTAACCCTTAATACTCTAAACACAAAACCAACCTATAGGCAATCCCATCCCAATTTAATACTAAATTACACTAGGAAATGAAATCACAACAACACAAAGGCATAGATCAATGTCTAACATAATTATATAATTAATAATGCTCAACAAAATAATCATAATTTGATACTAAGACATTCTGAAGGATTACAGACCATCATCACTACATCCTTTTCTCAGAAAATCAAGCTGGTTTTGCATACTAAAGCCACCCCTGCAAATAAACATCAAATACGCAGAATGAAGAAGCTGCTCAAAATTCTTTGCGGTGTTGTTAATTCAATTTGACTTCACATAAATCCTATGAGGCAGGCATTGCTATTATTGCCCTCACTTTGCAGATGAACAAACTGAGATGATGCATGGCACATAGCAGCCGCTGTTGAATTTCTTTTCCTGGCACCCTGGCTGGCAGCGATTGAAATTGAGCTTTCAAGGCTCTTAACACTTTCAAGGCCCTTAACACTTCCATGTCAAGCTTTATCGCCCTGTACAAAGTCCCTATCTCTTCACCAGGAGGACAGGGTCGGGGGTGGGAGATGCTCAGAGGACAGTAAACAAGTCTGATTCATTTGTTACCTGAACCTAGTCCAGGGCCAACCTGGCACAAGGAGGCCTCAGGAAATAAATTCAGCAAATGAACCAACACACACAGATGAACAGAAGTGGCCCACAATGAGGCTTAACAGTGACCTCGTCATCTAATCTGAAAGGAAGGCATCATGGTTTCCTGTTATGGGGAAAGAATCGGGCTACAGGGTGCATGGGGTTCTTCTCACATCATCACCCACCATAGACCTCCACATCTTGGGGCTCTCTGTACATCTGTCTTTATGAGGCTCTGGTCCCTTGATCTAGAGGATTTTTTTTTTCTTGAGACAGAGTCTCACTCTGTTACCAGGCTGGAGTGCACCGCCCAATCTTGGCTCACTGCAACCTCTGCCTCCCAGGTTCAAGGGATTCTCCTGTCTCGGCCTCCCAAGTAGCTGAGACTACAGGCGCATGCCACCACGCCCAACTAATTTTTATGTTTTTAGTAGAGATGGGGTTTCACCATGTTGGCCAGGATGGTCTTGATCTCTTGACCTTGTGATCTGCCTGCCTCGGCCTCCCAAAGTGCTGGGATTACAGGCGTGAGCCACCATGCCGCCTAGAGGAAATTCGAGCCTTGGTTTTTTGAAGACCCAGGTTTCAGGACCTGGGTCTCAAGGGTCTCAGGTATCTGAGTCCTTAGACTCCTTGTGCCCCCATATTTGAGTCTCTGGGGTCTCCAAGGCCCTTGGGCTTTGTGGGGAGGGTGGAGACCTCCAGATCCCTGTGTTTCAAGGGTACACATGGTTGTCTCCAAGTCTACTGGTTCTCTCAGCTTCTTTGGTGCCAAGAGTCCGCGTTTTTAACCCCCTTTGTCTCAAGGGCCTCAGTCTCTGAGTCTCTGGGCTCCTGGGTTCAGTGAGAAGGGTCTTTGGATCCTTCCGTTTAGAGTCTGGGGTCTCCATGACCCTGGGTCCACGGACCACTGAATCAGAAGCCTGAACCTTTGGATCCCTCAGTCTTGAAACTCAGGGCCTCTGGGGTGCCCAGGGTCTCCAGATCCAGTCAAAAACACTCTAACCTGTTCTCTGTCCTCTAGTTCCACCTCCCATTCCACGTGAAAGCTGTGGGTGGGTGTCCATTTCACTGCCCGGCGTCTGCGTTACCTTTCATCACTTTCTCTCGTCATTGCCCCCGTCCTCACTACAATCAGTGTTTTACAGGTCCCATGGGAACCACCTTCAAAATAGACCAGAAATTTACTTTCTACAGTCGTACCCACTATCCAGAGCCAACAGCATGTGCAGACACCACACCCCCAATCGCTGACATCTGACGCACGGGCAGAGTCCCTCAGCCTGCACCCCACTCCCTCTCCCAGTTCGACCTGCGTACGAGCATCACCACTGCCCCACGTGCGCGCACAACTCCACTCCAATCCTCGGAGTCTGTTCTGCGCATGCGCTGTCTGCGCCTTTTACACTTGCGACCAATCCCAGCAACCCCACCTTCAATTCTCACCCACAACCCCGCCTCAAAGGGCAGAAATCATATGCCCTATAATCCCCTTAAAATCCTGTAATAATCCCACAAGCCAGTTAATCAGAATACAACGACTTCGCTTACACAGCAACATGAACCTGCCGGTGACAGCGCGCCGCCATGGCAACAACAGTACACACAGCTCTGCGGCTCCCTGGGCCCGAGCGCAGGCGCAGAAAATAAACGGGGCAGTGCATTTTGGAAGCAGCAGAAAGAGCAAGGAAAGTGTTTCTGGGAGTTGTAGGCCAAACGGGACCTCAGAGCCACGGGCGCAGAAAGCAAAAGGGGCAGTGCATTTTGGGGGCAGCAGAAAGAACAATGCAAATGTTTCTCGGAGTCGTAAACTAAGCGGAAGCCCGGAGCCATTGGCTCATCCAGCGGCGCTGCCGCATGGGATTCTGGGAGCTGTAGGCAAGGAAGTCCCAAGACCTCGTGGGAATGGTAGTCTTGGAGTAGTCACTTCCGTGCCAGGCTTCCGCGTGGTGGGCAGTGTGGACGTCCCAGCACTGCGTTCTGCCCGGGTGAGTATTTATTCCTGCGGTGAGTTGGCATGTGGACCCCGGCTCTTTGTTGCGGTGCCGTGGGAGGGCTGAAGGTCTCTACGAGCGTGAGACGCTTCTATGATTTCCCAGCGCGGTGTCCCTGAGGCCTTGTAGCCAGGATTCCCACTTTGGACGCTGCGGTCTGGCCTCTTACCGGGCCACCCCCTTCCGCAAGACAGGATATGACCATCTCCCTGTCCCCGCCCCCATGCCACACTCTTGAGTCCTTTTGACAAGGCTGCAATCCAGAGGCAACCCCGGGGTCCGCGATCTCTCTTCTGGGAGCATTTATTATTCTCTCATCCTACAGATATTTACTTAGCACCGACTCTGCGCAAGTTGGGGGGGGGGGTGGGCAGCAGACGAACCCTGCCCCTGCCTTGAAGAAGCAGAGAGACAGACCTGTCACCAGTGACAGGGAGTCAGGATCAGGGCCAGTATGGAGGCACACATGCAGCTCTGGGGGCCCTGGGGGATGCGCCCGACTCAGTGACTGGGGTCCATAAAGTCTTTGAGGGAAGACGTTTAACATGCACGTCAAACTTGACATGTCCAAATGGAATTCCTGGTCTTCTCCCCTCAAAAAATGGCCCCACCATCCCCCTAGTGCTCAGGCCAGAACCTCAAAGTTACCCTTCATCACTTTCTCTCGTCATTGCCCCAGTCAATCTGCCCGGCTTGACCCTAGGAGGCAGAGGTTGCAATGAGCCAAAATTGTGCCACTGCATTTTAGCCTGGGTGACAGAGTGAGACTCCATTTCAAAAAATTTAAAACTTAAAATATTTTTTAAAGAATGGAAAGAGATGGGTGCTAGGCAGGACCTGAAAACATGAAAAGGCCTCCCCAGAAGAGAATTGAGCAGAAAATCCAGGAGCACAGAGGAGGAGTGAGTCAAAAACAGGGGGAGGAAATATTCCAAGGGGTGCTGCAGCCATCTGGGAGAGAGACAGACCTGACTAGGGTGCTGTCATGGAGATGGTCAGAAGGGTTTCGCTGTTTTTAAGCCATATTCAAATAGGATTTGCTATTTCATTTAAGTACCTGGAGTTTGAAAAGGTCCGGAGTTGGCATTGCAGTTTGGTGCCACTCACTGGGAGCATGCCAAGTGTATGGAGAGAAAGAGCAGTCCAGTTTCCTGAACCCCAAAGCTTCTGGCCTGAGCAGCTGGATGGATGGAGCTGCCTTGTGCTCCAGGAGAAGCCCGTTGGGTTAGAGGAATCAGGAATTTGGGTTTGGAGATGCCTATTAGACATCTGCGTGGCACTGGCCTCTGCCCTCAGAGAAGTTAGAAACAGTAAATATAGTCACATAAAATAATTCCACACATTGTGGTAAGTCCTAGAAGCAATGTGACCTGCCTGCTCTGAATGGCAAGGAGACAAAGGCATTCGTCCAGGCTGGAGGTGATGGTGGCTTGGGGAAGGGAACTGAGCCTAGGGAGTTTTTGTGGGTTCACCAGGCAGACAGGACCAAGATTTGACTGGAGGTTTGGAGTCTTGGAGTTTGGGTGGAGAAGGATGAGGTAGGAAAGAAAACGGATAGAAGTCAGAGATGGGCTGATCCATGTCTTGATGAGGCCACATTAACTTGTGGGGGATTCTGATACCAGAGCAGGTTTGAGTTCTATCTTGGAGGCCCACATATTCTTTCATCCCCAAAACAGGTGCAACCCCATCTGGTCTTCCGAGGTGTGATCCAGGCTACCTGCGTGTTCCCTGGAGAAGGTGATCACCCTGCCTTTCACAGGATGCAATCAGAACCCACTCCTGGAGACAGTATCAAACCCTACAGAGTGAAATCAATTGTCCTTTCCTGTTTTCCACCTTCCCCTGAACACAGCTTCAATCCTCTGGCCTCCCTCTACCCTGACAGTCATAAATCCCTCACCTCCCAAGCTCTCTTAACAGCCCTGGTGGCCCATGCCAATGATATCTACCTTGTCTTTCTGATCTGGGGTATAACAAGGGTGGCCTCCCTGGAGGTTGTGACAAACGGTCCTTAATATACACCCCATCCCTCTGGACAAGACACAACCTAATCTTGGTTATAACCTGTTTGTCCTCCCTCTCTTTAGCCCTGAAGCCAGCTTCTTAAGCTACTTCTCTTCTTGGTGCATAATGGTGCAATCCAAGAAGCATTCCCTAAGGCAGTGGCTTTCTTACACCAGGACCCACTTATAACCGTCCTGTCTCCAGTGCTAGAAGAAGCCACTCCACTAGCGCACAAGTCTCCCTGGTCTATTCCGGCCAGAGGTGCAATCCTGACAATCTCCCCGAAGGCAAGGACCCTGCAATCCGGAATCCACACGTAACCCACCTCCTCTCTCTCCCTGTTTAGGAGAAGCCGACGCCTCCCGCAATGCCCGCCCCACCGTGTACCTCTTGTCACGCGGCACGCGCTGCCCTCCGCCGTCCGCGCTCCGGCCAAGCGCTGTGCGGTGCCTGCTTCTGCTCAGCCTTTGAGGCCGAGGTGCTGCACACGGTGCTCGCGGGCCGCCTGCTGCCGCCTGGTGCAGCGGTGGCTGTGGGCGCCTCGGGCGGCAAGGACTCCACCGTGCTGGCGCACGTGCTGCGCGGGCTGGCGCCGCGCCTGGGCATCTCACTGCAGCTCGTGGCCGTCGACGAGGGCATCGGCGGCTACCGGGACGCGGCGCTGGCGGCCGTGCGGCGCCAGGCGGCGCGCTGGGAACTGCCGCTCACCGTCGTAGCCTACGAAGACCTCTTCGGGGGCTGGACAATGGATGCGGTGGCCCGCAGCACAGCTGGCTCCGGCCGCAGCCGCTCCTGCTGCACCTTCTGTGGGGTGCTGCGTCGCCGGGCGCTGGAGGAAGGGGCACGCCGCGTGGGAGCCACGCACATCGTGACGGGTGAGCGCAGGCGCAGCCGCGGAGCGGCGTGCTCAGAGGCAGTGGGGCGCATGCACGGGCCAGGGGGCGGGGCCTGAAAGGGGACTCATGCGCATGCTCCAGGGGCGTGGGAGGAGACCTTGGGCGTGGCTTAACGGGAGGATCCCACTAAGGAGATGTGAAAGTGCGCATGCTCCAGTTTGGGGCTGGAGCCCTGTGAAGGTTCTAGACGCTGGACCGAGCGGCCAGGCAGGGATCATGAAGGTTTTTGGGTCTTGGCCACAGTCTTGGTTTGCAGAGATTGCCAAACGGGTGGGAGGTGAAAGTCTCCGGAGATTAGATCTCTGGTTCTTCGCTTATTTTTAAGTGTTTCTAACATGTTTCATCTCTTATGGTCCACCTTTCAGAATGCAGCTCTGTCTCTAAAAAGCATCTCTGCCTCTTAATTCCTTTTCTTTGTTGGTCTCTCCTTTCTTTGTAAGTTTTTTTATTCTCTCTCTTTCATCCATTCCTTCAACAAACAGATGCTGAGTTTCTGCTATATGCCGGATCCCATGTGGCCAAAGTTCTTAACTACTCTGTACTTCTGTTTCTCTCCATCCTTGAAACAGGAATATGAATGGTACCCAGCTCATAAACTTATTACAATTAGAAGAGTCTATTTAGTAGAAGTATAATATCTATTTTATAGTTACGTTACATAACCTGTATGATCTAGTATAGATTACACATTTTATACGTGCTATATTATCACCATCGTTGTCGGGCTAGGACTGAGAATACACTTACACACAAGTTCCTACCTTTGCATGGTTATCAAGTACAAAATTATAAACACTATACATGTTACTGACCATGTATGGACATGTTAAGGACCATGTGTACACACAGAGAACCCTATGATCTGCAAGGAGTGGGGTCAGGGAACTATTTTGAAATCTGAAGGCTCACAGTGAAGAGGTAAAGGGGGTAGAATTGGGGAGAGGTTTTTGGCCTGTACAAAAGCCAATTTGGGCTGCCCCAAGAAGTCCAGTGTGGCTGGATCCCAGAAAGCAAGGGCAGGGGAGGCTGGAGAGGTGGAAGAGGTCAGGCCTTACCCTGTAGGCTGTGGTGGAACCAGTAAAAGTGACAAGAAGGGAGTTTCACTTTGAAAAGCTCACCCAGGCCATGGTGAGGAACCTGGGTTGGAGGGGCAGGGACAAAGCCAAGGAGACCAGTCAGTGGGGGGCCAGCTGCAGTCACGGAGGTGAGAGTGGTGGTTGGAGAGAATCAGCACATTCGAAGGGTATGAAGGCAAAGTCGTTCTGAGTCTGTCATCTGCCACCATGCTAGGGCATCGGCTCTGGGGAAGGCTTACTGAGCTTCAATCACTGGTGTGGCCCTTTCCTTACTGAATAACTTTGGAGAAATCCCTAGATCTCTGTGATTGAAAATGGGAACAATAATCCTTTCCATACAAGAGCAGTATATGGAAAGAATGAGAGGCTTGGGTCCGGCACCGTGGCTCACGCCTGTAATCCGAGCACTTTGGGAGGCCGAGGCGGGTGGATCACGAGGTCAAGAGTTCGAGACCAGCATGGCCAACGTGGTGAAACCCCATCTCTACTAAGAATACGAAAATTACCCGAGCATGGTGGCAGGCCCCTGTAATCCCAGCTACTTGGGAGGCTGAGGCAGGAGGACTGCTTGAACCCAGGAGGCCGAGGTTGCAGTGAGCCGAGATCACGCCACTGCAACTCCAGCTTGGGCAACAGAGCAAGACTCCGTCTCAGGGGCAGGGGGTACAGGGGGCGGGGGGAAAAGAATGAGAGGCTGCCTCAGGTTTTAAAGTTAATTTGATAGAATCACTTAGTAATTGTACTTCTAAAAGTAATGAGGGCTTCCAGAAAAATCCCTAACTTGGAAGGTGATTTTTCCCTTTGTTTATACACTATTATCAAAGGCATAGTATAATGATTGTTGTAATAATTATTACAAAATCGGGAGCTCCTAAGTGGGTTTGTAATGACAAGGTGTGGAGTAAATCCAGTCTCTCCTTATGAATGTGGTTTACAACTTTAAGTCAATAGTAAACGTTTAACCAGATGTCATTTCCAGTAGCAAACATGCTAATCTCAAGGTCACAGGGCTTGGCAGTTCTTTGGAAGGTAACCATTACTACAAACACAATTAGAGCCAAGTTCTTGGAGGATTTTTACCATTTAGACCAGGGTCTCTCAACTTCGGCCCTATTGACATTTGGGGCCAGATAGTTTGTTGTTAGGGAGCTGTCCTCTGCGATGCAGGATTTTAGCAGCATCCCTGGCCTCTACCCATTAGACGCTATTTAATAGTAGCACCACCACCCCAGCCTGACAACCAGAAATGTCTCCAGCCATTGCCAAATGTCTCAGGCGGAGGGAAGGAGAGCGGAATCATCCCAGACTAAGCACTGATACAGACTCAAGTATAACTTGACAAGACACAGAACAAGTACAGCTTCAATTTCATGGTGACCAATGTGTAAATATTTCTCACTGTTATTTCTAAACAAAGATAACAAAAACGCTGCAGTGGTTACAGGTGTGGTGGTTCATGCCAGTAATCCCATCCACTCTGGGAGGCGGAGGATCACTTGAGCTCAGGAGTTCAAGACCAGCTTGGCCAACATGGAGAAACTCCATCTGTACAGAAATGCAAAAATTAGCTGGGCATGGTGGCGTGCACCTGTGGTCCCAGCTACTCTGGAGGCTGAGGGCAGGGATCACTTAAGCCTGAGAGACAGAGGTTGCAGTGAGCTGAGGTCGAGCCACTGTACTCCAGCCTGGGCACTAAAGCAAGACACACACACACACACACACACACACACAATGAAAAAAACATAAACTACAGTCTGTGTTGTCAGAGGCCCTGTGTCATTTGTTTTCTCTAGCTGCTGTAACAAATTACTTAAAATTTAACAGCTTTAAACAACACAGATTTATTATCTTGCATTTCTGGAGATTAGAAGTCTGGCAAGTCTCACCGGGCTAAAATCGAAGTGTCAACAGTGCCGAGTTTCTCCTGGAGGCTCTTGGGCCAGGGGGTCCTTTTCCTTGCCTTTTCCAGCTTCCGGAGGCTGCCCACATTCCTGGCTCATGGCCTCTTCCTCCATTGTCTTGTCTTTTTTTTTTCTTTTGAAACAGAGTCTTGCTTTGTTGCCTAGGCTGGAGTGCAGTGGCGCAATCTTGGCTCACTGCAACCTCTGCCTCCTGGGTTCAATAGATTCTCATGCCTCAACCTCCCAAGTAGCTGGGGTTACAGGTGCCCGCCACCACGCCCTGCTAATTTTTGTATTTTTAGTAGAGATGGGGTTTCACCATGTTGGCCAGGCTGGTCTCAAACTCCTGGCCTCAGGTGATCCTCCCGCTTCGGCCTCCCAAAGTGCTGGGATTACAAGCGTGAGCCACTGTGCCCAGCTCTTCCTCTATTTTCAAAGCTAAGGATGGCAGGTTGAGTCCTACTCTGTTTGCGTCACTCTAACCTTGCCTCTGCCCTCACAACCCCATATTCAGTAGGCGGGTGGCAAATGAGGTACCCCCAAGTTCCCCAGGGAGCTTGTGTGTGTTACCCTCTTGATTCCTGCTGTGTCTACCTCCAGGCTCCACCTGGCTGTCCCACAGTGCCCAGGGGGGCTCCATGGCCCTGTCTCCCTCTCCTGGACTCCGGGTCCTTGTGCCCTATGGTGCCCAGGGGAGCTCCATGGCTCAGGCTCCGCCTTTCCCCCTCTCTCTCTGGGTCCTGGCTGCCCACTATGTTCAAACGTCTCCTTGGTCCTATCTCTCCCTCTTCTGCCTCCCTCCACTCTAAGGGTCTTTGTGATTACATGGAGCGCACCTGGATAATCTGCCATACTCTCCCTAAAGTCGGTTGATTAGCAGCCCCAATTCAACCTGCAACCTTAATTCCCCTTTGCCTGACAGCCAAACATATCCATAGGTTCCCAAAATTAGGCCATGGACACCCTAGGCGGTGGGGGAGAGGGCAGCCTGCCTACCACACCAGTTCTGTTGAGAATCTCTGTTAAATGTCTTAAATACCATTCTGATTTTTGTGTACAGTCTGAATTACAGTTTTAACTGAGGATGATAAGGTTATTAGCAGCATAATGCACTTTTACTCCCTATAGAAAAGGGCAACTAGCATAAGGTCCGCTCCGCAGTAGGTGGGTGGTCCATAAGGCGCCCCCCCAAGTTGCGCCAGGGGAGCTTATGTTTCTCTGTTTTTGTTGTTGTTGTTGTTGTGTCCATCTCCGGCCTGCACCTGGCTGCCTCACGGTTCCCCAGGGGTCTCCATGGCTCTCTTTCCCCTCCCTGTCTCTGGATCCTGGCTGTCACACGTTTTTCAGGGGTCTCCATGGCTCCCTCTCCCCCTCGCCATCTCTTCTGGGTCCTGACGGTCCCACTGTGCCCTGGGTCTCCATGGGTCTCCCTCCCAGTCTCCCTCTGGGTCCTCGTGGACCCATGGTTCCCCGGGGGGCTCCCTGACCAGCAGCGCCCTCCGCGCCCCGGCTCACCCGCTCCCGTCTCTCCCCACCAGGTCACAACGCAGACGACATGGCGGAGACCGTGCTCATGAACTTCCTGCGGGGCGACGCGGGGCGGCTGGCCCGGGGCGGGGGCCTGGGCTCCCCGGGCGAGGGGGGCGCCCTGCCGCGCTGCCGCCCGCTGCAGTTCGCGTCGCAGAAGGAGGTGGTGCTGTACGCGCACTTCCGCCGCCTGGACTACTTCTCCGAGGAGTGCGTCTACGCGCCCGAGGCCTTCCGCGGCCACGCCCGGGACCTGCTCAAGCGCCTGGAGGCGGCGCGGCCGTCGGCGGTGCTGGACCTCGTGCACTCCGCCGAGCGCCTGGCGCTGGCCGCGTCCGCTCGGCCCCCGCGCCCCGGCGCCTGCTCCCGCTGCGGGGCTCTGGCCAGCCGCGCGCTCTGCCAGGCCTGCGCGCTCCTGGACGGCCTGAACCGCGGCCGGCCCCGCCTGGCCATCGGCAAGGGCCGCCGGGGGCTGGACGAGCAGGCGACGCCGGGGACGCCCGGGGATCCGGCCCAGACCCCCACCCCCAAGGCCGTCCCCACCTTCTAGCGACTCCGGACCTCCCGCCGGGATCTGACGCCCCCCGGGGTGGGGACTGCCTGTAAATGACTCTGTGAATAAACCCCCGTTACCTTGCCTGGCCTTCCATGTGAGGTTGGCAGGGGGAAGAGGCCCTGGTGACCTGAAATCCTGAAGAAACTGGGACCCCCAGACTTCGGGGTCTCAGGGAGGAAGGGTCTCACGCTGGGTTTCTGGCTCTGAGGGAGGAGGGGGCTGGGGGCTCATCCTGGGTCTGAGAGGAGGGCTAGGCCTAGAGGAAGTGGGCTGGGATCCTCAGGCATCTGCACCTGAGGAAGGAGGGCCTGGGGTCGTGGACTCCTGGGTCTCACGGGGAAGGGGGCTGAACACCTTGTGATTCCCTAGCGAGTGGGGGTAGGTTGGGGACCACCTGCCTCGTGCCTCTGCTGGTTCTGGGCGCGATCAGCATGATCCTGACCCTCCTTGAGCACCAGATTCCTGATGTTTCCTGTTTGCCCACAGTCGGGTAAGCAGAGTGACATGAATTGATGGACACACACCATTCACAGCCCCCGTCATGCTGCCTCCCTTACAGCGCTTCGTGCGCAGCACGCACTGCGCTCTCCTTTGGTCTCCACCACGGCCTCACTGCCTTTAGCCTGAGGCGGTAAATGGCCCCAAGACACCCAGCCGGAAGGGGTCAAATCGAGGGCTCCCTCCAGAGCTCTCAAAGGTTGAAGGTCATGGAATGGGCCCTCCCCCACCTATCCCCTCCGGAATCTCTCCTGGTATCTCTGTCATGGGTGAGGAGGGGTTGGGTGGGCTCCCAAACCTTGGACTCTGGAGGCAGGGTTGTGTGAGCCTATGTCAGTGACTTAGCCTCTGATCTTCCATTTCTCTGAAAATGGAGTCAGTCCCCTCCCCCGCCCCAATTAAGGCACCACTGGGAGGAAGTGGAAGATCAGAGAAGGTGCTGAATAAATGGTGAGCACTTAGACCTGGTTGTTCATGTTACTGTCTGGCCACACCAGGGGGCGCTGGGTTTCAGGGTTGCTGCCCTGTAGGTACGGGGAGGTTGTGAGGGTCTCAAGCTCCCTGGGGAGATGGTGCTCTCCATCCCACCTCCAGGACTTGCTGGGCTGGCTTCTTGTCAGAAATGTCCCTTCTTCCCATTGCCCAGCTCAGATCCTCCAGGGTCCTCCTAGAAGGCTTCTCACTTCTGTCCTCCCACCACTCAACCCAGGGCTTAGTAGTCTCCCAAACCCCTGCTTCTCAGTCCTGTCCTCACCCTGTGGCCACCCAAACTTGGGCTGGAGGGCAAGGACCGGATTATTCACTGAAAACATGTATGAGCACCTCCTTTGCATCAGGCATTCGTCTAGGTTCTAGGAACATGGCGGTGAACAGAAGACAAGGCTCCTACCCTCATGAAGTTCAGTCTGGGAGAAGTGGACAGTAAGCACATCAATATATAATGTCAGGTAGTGATGAAGGCTACAGATTAAAGATGGTGAGAGAAAGAAACAGGAAGAGCTCATTTCCATAGGAGTCAGGGAAGGAAGGGCCTTGGAGGAAGTGATGTTATGCACAGACCTGCAGAAGCAAAAACCAATCATGGGGCCATTTGGGGGAAGAGCTTTCCTGGTGGAGGGAACTGCCAGTGCAAAAGCCCGGAGGTAGGAATAAACTTACAAGTGCAGGGAACAGCAACTACAGTGTGGTGGGAACAGAGTGGGTGAGGAAGAGGCGAGATGAGGCAGTAAGCAGAGGTGGGTCATGCATGGCCTTATTTGGTGAGAAAGACTTGTATTTTAAGAGTGATGGTAGGTCTTTGGAGGGCTTTGGACCCAGCAGTGGGTCCAATTTCCATTTTCTAAAAGCTACTCCAGCTGCTGTAAGGAGAATGCGCTGTAGGGGGTGCAAGATGACCGAGTTCAGTTGTGCAGGATGCTGCTTGTGTGCCTGTCCTGGTACCAAGTGTGCCCTCCTCATTACCTCATGACATGAGGAATGGGTTTTCAGCACCGAGTTTTTAAAATTGGTACATAGAAGGATCTAAAAGTTTATTTTTTGTATTATTTTATTTTTTCCCTGAGTTATTGGGGTACAGGTGATATTTGGTTACATGAGTAAGTTCTTTTTTTTTTTTTTTTTTTTTTTTTTTTTTTTTTTTTTTTTTTTTTTT